TTGACACTAGGGACAAGGTAGGCCAATGTGGCTGAAGTGTAAGGAAAGAAGGGAACAGGTATGTGAAGTTGGGTCAGCGAGGTCAAGAGGAGACATAATGTCAAGCCTTCTATCCAATGAGAAATTTACAGTTTACTCTCCTTCCAACAGGTAGGCAAATCCTGCAATTTTAAGCAAGGGGTAAGGTGAGTTATGTGAAATTTACATACTAAAGTGATCTTTCTGGTCCTTATGAGGACAAAAGGAACTTGCCTCATCAGTTGGATTCTACCTTAAGGGTAGATTCCTGTACTAGTTTTGGCTGTTGACATCAATGCCACTGTAATTAGTTAACACCAGCTTGGCCTTAATAGTAGATCAATGGAGAGAAATGTCCTAAAATGATTTTAATATATATCGTCTTATGTTACCTTTATTTCCACAGAAGTGCCATAAGCTCAAGGGGAGGCCAAGTGGTTGGATTTTAGCCCCAGCTTTTATCACCTGTGTGCATAAGGTTTCTCTCCCTTTTTCCTTCTGCCTTTTCTTCTTTTGACCAGCTAAACTTATTTTCTGTTTTTATGAGGAAATGATTTTTCTAGTAGCATAATAGTTTAAAAAGAAATCTTGCTCATTTACAATTAAATGCATTCTTAACATTGGTGGGGAGGTGCAGGGTTTCAAAATCTTCCAAAAGTCTAAATCTCAGTGAGTATAACTAAAATATGTAATACAGAAGAGAAGAGTGGGTGATAGTCTGGAGATTTAATTGTCAGTTCTCTCCTTTGACAACTTTCACTTCAGCATCCTTCACTGCCAAGGTTACCATTCTCAATTATCCCATTTCCCTTGTGCTTCCTTATAAGCTGTTGCTGCTTGGGGAGCAATTTCAAGGTTTCCTTTTCTGTGTGTATTTATCCTTCAGTTTCCTGTTTCTTTTTGCCTCAGCTTTTGCTGTTAAAAAATTTTGCTGTTTTTACAAGAATGTGACAATTCTGAAAGTGCCTTTGGACCTTGACTGTGGTGGAAATTTTTAAACTGAGACCTGTCGGTTAGCACATTGATAAGAAGAGAATGCCTCCTCCTTTTGTGTTCTTATACAAGGTCAAGAAGAAATGTGCCATTCAGCGTTTTTTTTTTTTTCCTTTGGGTTTTCTTCTTTGATATTGCCTCTTTGTCGAAAATCCTCCATCACTCCCATTATACCTCAGTTTGTTCAAGTTTGATTGTTAGTTAAAAATCATTTAGAATAAAATTTATTGCAGATCAGATTTCTCCCTTTTTCTTCTTCTCCATTTTGCCTTTCTCATTCCTTCTTGCACCCCTACCTCTTTTTCACATTCTTCTTCCTGTTTGTCCTTCCCTAATTTCATCCTAAAGAAATAACACATACTTACTTCCTTCTCACATGGCAACTATACAATATATTTGGCTCTAAGGCACCAGAAATGTATGGGACACAGTCCCTATCTTGGACCAGGCTCTAGATGGGGACATGGTCTCCATCTTTAGGGATCTTAGAGTGGAGGATGGAGATAAGTAAATGGAAAAATATAATGCAGTGTGGCACGTGGCTGTTGTGCATAAAGAAGAGTGCTCAAAATGAACAAAAATAGGAATTCTAACATGTATTCTGACCAATGAATAGGAAGTTAGCATTTTGAAGAGTGGATGGGGGATGCGGTGGGCGGCTGATGTGCTTCAGGTGACATGGAGGTGAGATTTAGCTGGAAGACATTGAGGAAATTTAGTAGAGTGAAAATATAGACTATAAATGTGTGTGTGTGTGTGTGTGTGTGTGCGCACGCGCGTGCGTGTGTTGAAAGAGATGTGGAAGAATGGCATGGAATAAGATTAGAGTCATAAAGAGTCAAAAATAAAATTTTAACCCTGATACAAGTTTTTATACCCTGCTAAAGGTTATGGCCTCCTCCCTACCCCCACTCTGATTGTAGAGGGGAATAGTGAAGGTGTTAGTCATATGAATGGTGTCTCTTAAGGTTATAGCTGCATATTTGGCTACAGCAGAGAAAATGCATTACATTCAGTCAACAGTATTTATCAGGTACTTAATAAGTGCTAAATACTGCAAATATAGTCATGAAAAAGGCAGACACAGACCCTGACATTAGTTCCATAGGATCACAATGTTCGTGGCAGGTAGTCCATTAGGAGGCTGTGGCCCATGAGAAATTTTGGTGGTCTGAACTGCAGTATTGCAATAGAGATTCAAATAAGTTTATATATTTAGGAGTTATTTAGGAAGTAGTATTAACAGAAGATGATAATTGACTGGTGGGGGCAGGTGGTGTGAGAGGAAGAAGCCATGAATCTTTAGAGACTTCCAAATGTTGACCTGCTTTCTGTTTCCTCTTTTAGTTTGACTGCCTAGTGACTTTGTGGGTGTTTCCTTTCCCATATGTCTAGTTATCAGTTTGACCAGCTGTCAGTTTTGTCCTCCCATTTGGTGGGTGCACAATGGGATGGAAAATACAATGGGTCATTGACCTCGTGGCAGAGGCCATTTGCTGTATGAAAGCCATTATCAAGAATTATGCTAAGCAGCTCTTAGTGTCAGATGAGTTTTGCTAATCTGTTCATTCCTTTAGATGATATGCAGTACAATAATAATATTGCAGAGATTGGATATAAGCAGAGAGGCAGGATGGTTGGAAAAATGAGAAAAAGTAGAATCTTATAACAAAGCTAATACTGAGTAGAATCTTATAACAAAGCTAATACTGCTAAGAGGAAACAAAGTCAGTAGAATGGAAGATTTAAAATGGGCATTTGGTCTACTGAGAGGGACTACTCTGTAAGATCATTTCTCCAAGAGGCTGCCTGAAGACACTAGCATCCAGTGTTACTTTGTGGATAAAGGTTTCTGGAAAATGCTGCACACTCAAATATGCCTCCTTTTTCAAAAACTTGGTTACATTTGTTGAACCCAAATTTTACAAATGTATTTGCCCCTTATGTCTTTCATTAATACTGTATTAACATTCCGTGGAAATGACGCCTCACGGACACACCTAGGGAAATGCTAGTCTAAACGAATAATGATCATAGTAAGTGTTAGCATTTACTGAGTGTTTATTATCTTCTATGCATAATGTTGAACTCTTTACATGGATTATGTAGTCTTCATACCAAGAACACTATGAGATAGATATTATTATTATCTTCATTTTAATGATAACAAAAATACCCTGACTTATTAATTTGTCTAAAGTCATATAGTCAGTAGGCAGGGAGCCAAATGTTTAACCAAGCAATCTAATCTAAAAGGTCAGACTTGTATCTTTTAGTACATTATCTTGACATGTCACAAGAGCAAGGTCCACATAGGACTCGAAGCTGTTGGTGCCACTGAAACTCTATTCAGTCGTCTCGTGAGTGGGACTGTCTTCTCATGCACTCAAGGACCAAACATAACATGTAAATGACTGAACATCCACTAATCTCCAAGTCATTGATTCCTTATACATGCCAACCAGTGGGCCAGGCGCTTCACATGCATTGTTCCATGACACAAAAAGAAACTGAAGCAGAAGATACAGAAACCATACAAGATCACACAATTAGAAGCCAGTAGAGCCTGGACTCAAATCCAGCCAGACTCAGGAGTGAGTCCATGTTCTTAATCAACATTGCTTTCTCAACATCTGAATCAGTGGGCATAACTTCTAGGCCAAGAAATGTTAAGATATCTCTATATTAAACATGCATAATATATTTATTTTTTCATGCATTTATAAACATAACATGTAAATGACTGAACATCCACTAATCATCCACTAATCTTATACAGTATGAAAGAATCCTTCTTTGATACCAGCGAGTCATATTTTTGGAAACAAAGGTGGGAGGTAAAAGCTAACTTAGAGAATTCAAGAGGAATCAGACTATGTTTGGAAGTGACCTCATGAACTCGCAGTAGAACCAAGGCAAAGGGCTGTAGGTCAAGCAAGAATGGAGTTCAGCATAGGATCTAAATCTGAGAAGGTACTGAGTGACATCTATTTTCTCTCTCTCATAAATAAATGCAGAATGATGATATTTTATATCAGTTTTGCTTACCCCATTAGCAATGTTGTAGTTAATGTAGAGATTTTAAGACTAGACAATTCTGGGTTTGAATTTTTATTCTATCATTAAATGTTACCTCAGGGAAATTTCTGAATTTCATCATCTATGAAATGGGGATAGATATACCAATACCCTAAATTTGTTCTGAAGAGCAATTGAAATAATGTTCTATAAACTGCTAGAGAAAGTAGATGCTGAACTTTTATGACAGGTAGCTATCATTTTTTTTTTTAAATAACGTTTCTTTGCTTACCTGAGTTTTGTGGACTCAACTTGAAAACATTAAGTTAATATTTTTCTATTTGCCTTTCCATTTTTCTCCTACTTCTGACAAGTACAGCATAGTGGAGTCCAACAGTAGTAAAACATCTGTGTATCTCCAGTACTCAAGATGTACAATAAGAAAGCTATTGTACCAGGTGATTTTTTTAAAAAGCACATTAGAAATAATAGATTTGGAGTGACTTTATTCTGTGCAGGAATTCATCTAACTCATTTTATCTAAACTGCTTACTCTGACCATTTGACTTGGCCTTGAAGATGAAATCTTTGGGGAAAAAAGTAAAATAAGTCTATTTAAAGATTTTTCAAACAACTGTACCTTGAATTTTGTGAATAAGTTAAATTTATATTTACATGGAGAGAAAAATGGTAATATTTCCCAATTGATTTAGGCCATTGTTAAGTGAGTGAAGACTGACTGAGGTAGAATCTCTCTTATCTTTTGCATCATATCAAGGTACTTTGTTTGGAAAATTTTTATTCTTTCTCTTTGTAGTTTATATACAGTGAACAGCATTTTAAATATAAGAAATGCAACTTTCAGGAGTTAAATATATTAACATGTTATGAAAAGCTTTAAATGTAGAATAATTGTAATGGAAAAGCAATGGTTTCACATACTTAGGATTTTTATTATTTTTTATTTGCAGGATGAGTAAGAGATACTTACAAAAAGCAACAAAAGGAAAACTGCTAATAATAATATTTATTGTAACCTTGTGGGGAAAAGTTGTATCCAGTGCAAACCATCATAAAGGTAAGGTCTTCTGTTTTCTTTCTCAGCTAGCTGGGATACAGACTATTGTGTTCTGTCTTCACTGGTCTATTAATTTTACTAGATATGGGTACCTTCCCACGATTTCCTTTAAGTAAAAATGCAGGGATAGTTATCCTTAATATGGCTTTGATAGTAGAAGCATAATTATTTAAATGTTTCCAGAATAACTGCCATTTCTGTAAATAGTGTTCAAGAGTTTGGAATTTCTGGCTTTCCCCTGTCATTTACATTTTTAAGATAGTGATGTTAAAATGTTGAGTTGACCTATAATGAAGACGAGTTTCAGATTGTAGTCATTCTTATACTGAAAGCATATATATATATGTATGTATGTATATGTAAGTTTCCCTCCAGTGCTTTTTGCGGATCATACTTCTTCATGCCAGAGTTCTTTTGTGACCACCATTTGGATCTACGTCTAGTTTGAGATTTAGCAGGCTTAATTCTGCTATAGAACAGAATGCGAATATTTGTTTTACACTTGTATGCTAAGCTCGACAGATCAAATTTATGTCCTTCCTGTTCTCTTTCCTGAGTAAAAGAGTCAGTATAATTAATAACTACCTTTCCAAATGAATTAAAATGGGGTTATTTCTGAACTGTTTCTACCATAATCAAGTATTCATAACCTGAGAAGTCAATTTAGATTTTTCTGTGAAATATGATTTTACAGTTCAGTTCTCAGTCCTCCGTAAATTTTAGAGGTTAGGAACTTACTTTCATATTTTATTTTGAGGTGAAGAGGGAGTTAAGACTGCCTTGAATTCCATAACACTTAAATTTGTTATACATGTACATTTAATTAGCATTACATGGAACATTAATACCAAGAAGAGGAAAGATGTGGTGAAGGAGTGATGTCTATCAGACAAAAATCTTTTCCCTATGTTTAAGTCAAAAAGAGTCATCTTTCGAAATATGAATTTTATGAAGTGGCCCTTCATATTTCATAATCTTGTTTTCTCCCCACTGTATGTGTTTGTGTATATGTGTGTGTGATATATGTATTTATATGTGTGTGTGTGTATGTATGTATGTGTGTATGTACACACACATATATGTATGTATATATTTATATACATACATATATGTGTGTAAATATATACATACATATATGTGTGTATACGTATATACATACACACATACATACACGCACATACCCACACACGCATACTGATCCACACATGATACTTTATATTCTTTTATAATTGTTATTAATGCAAAATTTAAAAGATGTGGAGCAGGACATTATTCCGCTTTTCCTAATTGGCAACAAAGAACCAAATTTAAGTACAAAGTAGTGTTAAATACTCATCTTCTTAAAAAAGTTGCCAAACACAGGGCCTGCTGCCTTGGGCTTAACAAGAAAGGACACATCATCCATACTATCCTGATGGATAGTTGCCCCAGTGCCCCTTCCCAGCCTATAAAAAAGAGTTGAGGGAAGTGTGTGTTTCGGAGGGGTGATTTATAGTAACTGTGGTGTCAGCCTGGCAAAGCAAGGGTTCATGGTAAAGGTGCTTTTTCATCTCCAAAGCTGAGTGATGGCATATCTGAGGGAATCTCTTATACAGACTGCCCCACAGTGAATATTGCATAAAATTCTTAAAACTACTTTTAAGAATTTTTAAGTTGTGTTATGGTCTATGCCACCCCCCAAACTAAGATCTTTTCTTACTTTTTGCCAAGAAAATACTTCTTGAACATAGGAGATTATACATTGTCTCAGAAAATCTACTTCAAGTGCCAAACCCAGTACATTATAGAAGGTAGGGTTTTGTGCTGTTTCAATTGTTCCATTTCTACCTGCCACTGATATTTTTAATGAAGATTTTAGGAAAGATTTCTTCATACTTTCCCCTTTCCTTTCTTCTCTTCTTCTTTTCTTTTGTTCCTCTTTATATTTTCCATATAAAATGCCCCTTTTGATTAAACTATTTTACACTTAGAATAAGTATAGTATACATGTACATTTTAGGACATGTTCATAAATAGAACTCCAGTATGCTCACTACCCAATTGAGAAATATAGCATTTTTTAAATCTCTTGAAACAGGATATGTCTGCCATTCTGACTTCATTCCTTTGCCTCCTTACTCAAAATAATCACTATTCTAAATTTTCTGAATATAATGCCTTTCCTTTATTTATAATTTTACCATGTACATATATGTCCAATGACATATAGCTTAATGTTGGTCATTATTAAATTTACGTAGTAATATTATACTGTGTTTTTCTATAATTCTCTATTTTGCTCAGCAATATATTTGTGACATTTATTGTAATTGGTGGCATATAGCTGCAGTTTATTCATTTTTTTTTTACTATTACATATTTTATTATATGAAGTCACCACCATTTATATATTTATTCTCTCGTACATGAACATTTGGTGTTCTCGTTTTGTTGTCATAAGCAATGCTTCTGTGAACATCGTCACTTCTCTCCTGGTGCCTGTGTGCAGGGTTTCTTGAGAGGACATTCTGAGGAGCAGAACCACTGGATCCAGAGCAGGCAGATCTTCAGTCTTACCAGATTAGGACTGATGGTTTTCCAAAGTGGTCGTACTAATAAAGTCATTCAAGATATTTCCTCACTATCTTGTCATCTGCTGAATCCATATTTAGATCTCTTCCTTCTGCCTGAATAGTGCTCCTTTGTGTCGTATCTCTCTTTTCCTTGATTGGTCTCGCCAGAGTTGGTAACTTTTATTAGTTTTCAAAGGACCAGCTTTTGCCTTTGTTGATCCGCTCATTTGTATGTTCTTGTATTTCATTACTTTTTGCTCTTTTATGATTTCATTAATTTTTATTTATGTAACAAACACTTTTTATACTTAGTAATATATGGCAGATACTTGTGGAGAACTGAAAGTTCCCTGGATTTCTCAGTGCTCCTGTAGAAATCCCCAGCCTCCTGAGACTTTTTTTTTTTATTAGTTTCAAGTATACAATACATTGGTTAGACATTTATACAGTTTATAAAACCATCCCCTAATTGCTCTTTCTCTCCTCTGGCTCTCCACTAACTGCATTCCCTATGCTGAGCACATACCCTGAGGATTAGATCTGTAGTCACTTGTGTAATTAATTGTTTTGATTCAAAAGGAGACTATCTCCCCAAGAGGGCTAACTGGTTGCAGCTTAAATTAGGCCTCTAGGGTAAACTCTCAAGGTGCCAGAAAGGGCGCTATCTGCCCTTGGAAAGATGTATTTACATTCTAAAAGGTTAGAGTGAGAACCTAGGATCCTTTCCAACTGATCTCAAAGAAGCAAAAGATTTTTTTTTTTCCTTTTTCAGGAGGGGAATGACAATCTCTCTCTTGCATGTAGTGGAAAAAAAATCCATGCTCTCTATCACTCTCCTATACTTATGTAGCACATTTGACCTGGCTTTCATCATGGGTAAGGCTTAGGGCAAGAAAGGCTATTCACTTATATTTTTATGGAGAGTAATTAATAAGAAATCTGTATCTGATCCAGAGCACCTTGTGTGAGTATTCAAGATAGAAATAATAAACATAAATGTTAAAAACCCAGTAGCTCTATTGTAAGAAGTTTACAGCTATCAACTCATTCAATCCTCATAACAATCTTAAGGTATGTACCATTATTAAACCTATTTTACAGATCAGAAATTGAAAAGAAAGGTTAAATAATTTATATCAGGTTGCCGAGCTAGTAACTATTAGAGGCAGGAATCATCTAGGTAGTCTTGCTCCATATGACATATATGACTAGTAGTAAATTTTTATTTATACTGTTTGGAGTTCAGTTGACTTCCTGAATCTGTGGATTGGTGTCTTTAATGAACTTCGAAAAACATTCAGGCATCATCATCTCTTGAAATATTGCTTCTACACCACTATCTTTATTAAACTAGGATTCTGGTTAGGTGTGTGTTAACTTTCTCTTTCTGTTCTCCATGTGTTTCAGTCTTTATATTTTCTACCTTCAAGTATCTCCATGTTTTATTCTGGAATATTTATTCAGATCTACTTTCTACCACACTAATTCTGTGTTCTCTCTGGTATAATCTGCTTTTTAATCCATATACATTTTAATTTCATCTATTGTATACTACTATACATACTTTTTTTTTGTAAATTGGCTTGGCTTTGGATATACTTCTGTTCTCATATTTTCATTTTGTTTTCTACATTGTATAGATATCAAACTATATTGTATATCAAATTACTATGTAAATAGTTTGATTTGATGATTTTATTTTATGAAATTTTGCATTTTCCTGGTGACTCTTATTCATGATACTTTATTTTGGGGTTTGTGATTTTTAAAATTTTTGTGGGGTAATGTTCATCGTAAGCATATTTGTGAGAATTTTAAAAGCCTATGCTTAGGATGCATTCTTCCAGAGATGATTTGCATATGCCATGTGTCTTAGGTGTAGTTCTCTAGAAGCAAGGCCAAGTCAGGAATTCTCATTGATGTTATTTATTGAAAGAATGCTCTCAGGAGGAGAATGAGGGTAGCAGGATAGAGCAGGAGGTAAAAGCTAAGCACAAATAGAGTCTCAGCTGGAGAAAAGCCTGGTCAGATCCTGGGGAGTCTCTGAAACATAAATTGCCCCACAGAGTTGGTACCTTTTTGAGGCAAGATAACAGCCTCTTCTGCCCTTGTGTCCATTTGTCATTGGCTGTTGACCTATCACCCATGGGAAGGAAGAACCTTCCTGGGAAATGACCTCTCTTTAGCAGAAGATGAGTCTCCAAACAAGGGAGGAGCTGGGAATTATAATTTGCTAACATTTACAGCAAGGGGAGGAAAGGTGCACAGTGATAAAAAAGGATCTTGGTAATGAATCATCAGCTATATTCCACTGCAGTCCACTCCTTATGCCCCTCAAATCTGCTTGCTTCTCACTTAAGTTCACTCAATCCAGCCAAAGCTTATCAAAGATTCTGGTTAGTTAGAATTTATAAGGAAATGTATTTGAGTAGGGATAGTGAGATCCCC